TTATTACAAACTGATCCATATACATGTATTTTGTGCTATTTTACCATTTAGTCGTCAAAATTTTTAGATTTATTATGAACTTTTTTTTTTTTTTTTTTTTTTTTTTACAAAAAACTTTCCCAGTAGAAATGCACCAAAGGGCTCTTTTACAAGGCACCTGAAGTTGGGATCTACATGCCTTCTGGCAGGCATTGGTGGGCCAGGGTGGCCGGGGCTGGGGTTGGGGGGGGTTGTTGAAGCCAGACCGCACCAATGTGCCTTTGTGTGGTGAAGCGAAGTAGTAACAGAGGTGAAATGTAGAGGCTGAGATAGGGCAGAGGTAGGGCAACCGACTCAGAACCTGAAAGTCCCAGGTTCAGACAACACATAGCACTTTACTTTACTTTACTTTACTTAAACAATCGACGTGGCGGCGATGATGTGATGACATATTATCTGTGCGACCATCTGGCCATGGGAATAAACAACAACATACAGAAACTTTGTAACAAGTTTGTAAAAATTGTCAACCACAAAGAAAATCACTAAACTGAGTTTATTCATCGTGTTTTTAAAGCAGTACCAAAGAAACATCCACCACACATTTAATGCCTTATCGAAGTTCATGCTCAATAAAATACAACAGGTAAAAATACATTATTGTTCAGTCAGGTCATCCAGATGGTTTCTTTTTTTTGCTGAGATGTTTCGTCCTTCATCCAAAGGACTTCATCAGTCCAAGGAGCCACAAACAAACTTAGTTCCACAAGAAGCAATCCCATAGTGGGAAAAAAAAGCAGTTTGCTGATGATAAGATAGGGCCTGCCCCCTCCCCGTCAACTCCTCTGAGGTAGCCATAACCACTTTGGCATGGCTGCCTCAGAGGAGTTGCCAGGAGGAGACGGCGGGTCTCGGAGGCCATCTTAGCACCAGCAAATTGTTTTTTTCCCCACTATGGAGTATGTCGTTTGTGGAAGTCAGTTTGTTTGGTGGCTCCTGAGATTGAAGAAGTACTTTGGATGAAGGACAAAATGTCTCAGCAAAATAAGAATCTCTCCAGATGACCTGACTGAACATTGCTGGATATTTACCTGGATTACTGAACATGAGCTTTGGTGTTTTGAACCACTTTGACATGGCTGCCTTTAGAGGAATTGACAGGGGAGAGGGTGGGCCCCAGAAATCATCTTATCACCAGCAAACTGCTTTTTTTCTTCTTTTTTTTTTTTTTCACTATGGGAGTGTACTGCTTGTGGGACTCAGTTTGTTTGTGGCTCCTCAGACTGATGAAGTCCTTTGGATGAAGGGCGAAACATCTCAGCAAAAAAAGAAACCATCTAGATGAGCTGACTGAACATTGTTTAATGCCTTATGTTTAATAATATTAAATCCAAGCTACAGTTTGGTTAATTTGAGCTTTTAACCACTTTTCTGATATGTTACATTTGATTTTTACAAAAACATCTAATTTTATTTTAGCTGATTTTAATTTTGAGGCACTTTTTGCTACTTTTAGCTTCTGTTCTGCTTGTTTTAACTTTCACAATTCACGGTTCAACAAAAAACAACAAAGTCATTCAACACTCTGAATTCTTTTAGCAGTTTCTCAGAAAATGTGATTTGTAATCACTCTTTTGACCTAATTTAAAACAACGAGAAGAAAAAAAAACAACAACCTCTGCAGCTCTAAATCAAGTCAGTGCTTCTCTGCGCTGCCACATTTCTGCTTTTCTCTCTGCTGTGTCACAAAATTGCAGGCTGTCACATCCAGGCTCATCGGCTGGTTGATTCATAATCAAATGCAATCAGACACTTACACACAGACGCACACACATGCATACACTGACACATTTTTCACACACACACACACACACACACACACACACACACACACACACACACATACACACACACACACACA